GGTCTAAGCCGCTGGCACACTTTGAAGATTTTTAGGCTTTTCTAATATGTTCTTTATTAATGCTGTCATTGTTCGTTTCCAAACTGTCTTTTTTTTGTAGTTACTATATTTTTTCTAATACTGTTGAGCATCTTCACCATCATTATTCTGATCCCTAAACCAGATACATTTTAATCTCCATTTCATTTATTTCATCTTCTGGAGGAATCTCTTGCTCTTTCCTTTGGAGGTTGTCGCTTTTCCTCCCCACTTTTGGCTAACTGTTTGGGTTTGTGACCTTGTATTAGATAGATCTGCAATGCCTCTGAATCTCTAGTGCAGGGCAGTGGCTAACACTTTTTCTGACTAAGTAGACCTGGCAAAGACTCAAAGACTCCAGAGATCCACCTCTGCCTGCTGACTGATTCAATTCAATTTTAAGTAACCATCAGGCAATTGTCCACAGGTGGAGGAAAGGTTTTCTAATGAGGTGGGACAATTGCTCCTGCCTGGAGGCTAATTGTTATTCTCAGTTTCTTAATGGGTCTCCACACTGTGGGGTAAGGGTTTTTCTGATAGAGTGTGTCAAGTGTCTTCCCCCAAGCAATAACTGCCCAGATAGCTAATGTCTACATGAGATAAATGACCTCCACAGTATAAGAGAATGACCCAGACAGGAAACTGGGGTGCCTGTCTTCTGAGCTCTAACCCAGAGTCCCCAACACTGACTTTTACTTACATAGCTCCAGTCAACTGCTCCAGTCACCTTCTGCTGAAGCCCAAGATGAGTGGCTACATACAATATATATATATTAGCTTAGTTCATAATATAATATATAATATATAATATATAATGCCTAAGTGCATTAACTGTGCTCCTTCAGGGATATTGTCTATTGGTTCTTTTTGTTTTCTGTGTATGTGGTATGTTCCCTGTATCTTTGTATGTCTCATCTTTTTTGGCAAATGTAGACATTTTAGATAATGTATTGTCACAGTTCTGGTATCTTATTCCTCTCGCACCAATAGTTTGTTGTTGTTTCCCTGATTTGTTTTTTAGTTGTTGTTTTGTTTCTTTGATTTAGCAATTTTCTTTGGCTAATTTTGTCCAGCCTGTTCTCTGTAGTTTGCAGCCTCTAAGTTTTACAGCAGCCTTTTTTTTCCCTTTAAGTTCTTGTTTTTATTTATTTATTTATTTTTGCTTGGTTTTCTGGTGGTTGCTCATGGGTCAGTGTAAATTAGTGGTAAGTCAATGATTGGTGAGAAGATTTCTATAAATGCCTTGCCTATATTTCTTCTACCCTTTGAAAAGGAAATCTATATAAGAAAGCTGACCTTAAAATGTTAGGCAACTTATATTACAGTCTTAGTATGCACTTTATAATTTTACAGGACCTCATTGGGCTTTTTAAAAAATACATTTTTATTGATTTCAGAGAGGAAGGAAAAGGGAGAGAGAGATAGAAACATCCATGATGAGAGAGAATTATGAATTGGCTGCCTCTTGGGAATTGAGCCCATAACCAGGGCATGTGCCCTTGATCAGAATTGAACCTGGGACCTTTCAGTTCGCAGGCCAATGCTCTATCCACAACTAAACCAGATAGTGCTGATTGGGCTTTTTATATTCCCAGGAACCTGTTGGAAATTTTTAGAATTTTCTGTGGTCACCTAGTTCTTAAGATATCTTTTCAAATTCCCCTATAGTTATTGGTTGCCCCAACTGAAATTAGACCCTTAATCAGCTCTTATGTTGCCATTGCTTTCTATTGTTTTCAGTAATGCTGTGGGATAGAACTTCTCATGCCTCCACTCTCCCATCCTAGTTGAGCCCTGACTCAAATTAAATAATAACAACAATTTGGGAATATATTTTCCAGAGAGCTATAAGTTCTGAAAAAATATTGGATGGATTGTGGAGCTTTTAATGGGACTCCAAAAGAGATCAGACTTCTCATTGGCTGCAAATCGGCTAGCAGCTGTGTTATTGGGCTGGTTAAAAGGGAAATGAGAATGGCCCCACAATTTTAAATTAAAATATCAGATCCTAATTATCTCCCCAGTTTTCTTATTTATTTATTTGCAGACTGTTTATTGTTTTTGTAGGAAAAAGTAAGTTCTCCAAGGTTCCCACTCTGAAATCAACCTCGTGTCTTCTGTTTTGCATTTAGAGTTATCTATTGGTCAACATTCAACAATTTCCTATTGCTTATACAACAGTGAAAAAGTGAAAGACTCTGTCTCATGGAGTTTATTGTACTTCTAGTGGGAATAATGGAAAAAGTAGATACATATGTAATATTATTTAAATAACAGTACATTTTGAAGAAAAAAAAATCTTACTGCATTTAAGTGAGAGGTGATTCTGTAATATTGGATGGTCCTCTGAAGAAATACTATTGGAGCCAGGGGTGACCTGAAAGCAGGGAGAAAGGGAGATATCTGAAGATGCAGCAGGGAGGGAGTGTCAAGGTAGAGAGAATAAGCACAAAAGCTCTAGAGAGAAAATGGGCTTCATGAATGGAGTATCAGCAAGAAGCCAGTATATGAGTTAAAATATAGTTTTGATGTGTGTTACAGACATCCAGATTACAGTAACTTTGACCCATAAAATTTCATTTTACTCTTTTGTACCAGTTTATAAGTTGAGGATTCAGAGCTATAGGACCTCATTTCTACCCCGCTCAGTAATGAAGGTGTGACCTTCTAGAGCATGAAGGTGTGGCCTTCATCTATATACCCTGTTTCCCAGAAAATAAGACGGTGTCATATTAATTTTTTCTCCCAAAGTTGTGCTAGGTCTTATTTTCAGGAGATGTCTTATCTTTCCATGCACTAGGTCTTATTTTCGGAGGATGTCTTATTTTTTGGGAAATACGGTAGTACATGAGGGGTCATCACAAGATTCATCTATAACATTGTTTTCCCCAATATTAAAAGTAACAACATCTTCTGACATCTGATGTCTGGAATATGGGGGTTCATGGTCTAATTCTTTTATTGTTTTTATTGTTTGAAATCTTAATAATAATTAAGAAATAGCTACATGGCATATGATGAAAGTGCACTATAAAAAATAGAGTAAGAGTGATGACGGTTCTATTTTATAAAGAGTAATCTCATAAGTTGCCATTTGATTAGAGGTCAGAATGAAGTAATTGAATAAGTCATATTGAATAAGTCAATAAGAAATATCTTAGGGAAGATATTTCCAGTCAGAGATTCTGAAGCAGGGATGTGTTTGGCAAATTTGAAGAACATATTATTGGTCAAGAGCAAGAGCAGAGTCAACTAAAGGGAGGAGATAGGCAAAGTGGTCAGAAAGAGGTAATGCAAAAATTCAGGGAAGACACTGTAGGCCTCAAAAAACTTTCATTTTTACTCTTCCTGAGAAAGAAATTCAGTGGAGATTTTTGAGCAGGAGAATTATTTGATCTAATTTATCTTAACAAGGATATTCTAGTTATTGTATTGGGTATGAAATATTAGGAAGGCAACAGTGAAGTAGAGAGACCCATTATGATAGTACTAGAGGCCCAGTGCACAAAATTCATGCATGGGGGGAGCCTCAGCCCAGCTTGCACCCTCTTACAATCTGGGACCCATGGTTCCTAACTGCTCACCTGCCTGCCTGATCACCCCTAACTGCTCACTACCTGCCTGATTGTCCCTAACTGCTTGCTTGCCTGCCCCTGATAGCCTCTAACCACTCACCTGCCTGCCTGCCACTGCAACTTCACCCAGAAGGACATCTGGAAGGTTGTTCAGCTAACCTTTTTAATTAGCATATTATACTTTTATTATTATAGATGTTAATCTTATTATGGTTGGACAGGTGGTAAAGATACTGATAGAAGAAGTCATAATCTGGATATATTTTGGGGCTATAAATGGAGGACTTACTGTTAGTTGTAATCTCCTATTCCTTTAGATTCTTGTTTAATTGATCTTAGTGGTTCCTCACATTGTATTTTACCAAGTTCCTCAGCTGATTCAGCTTCTCACCAAAAGTGAAGAACCACTTTTTTAAATTGAAAAAAAATGTTTATCTTTATTGTTGAAAGTATTTCAGATGTCTCCTTTTTATCCCCATTGACACCTTCCACCCTACCCCAGATCTACCACCTCCTATGTCCATGGGTTATGCATATAATTTCTTTGGTTAATCTGTATATTCTCTTTGGAGAATATTTGACAGGAATGAAGTAAAGAATGGAGTAAAACAGTCTCTTCAATAAATACGTTGGGATAAATGGACAAGTACATGCAAAAACAAAAACAAAAAAATGAAACTAGACAATCAGCTTACACCATACATAAACTAAAAATGGATAAAAGACTTAAATGTAAGTCTGAAACCATAAAAATCCTAGAAAAAAACCATAGGTTGCAAAATTTTAGACATCTCTTATAGCAATACTAGAGGCCCAATGCACGAAATTCGTGGAAGGGGCTTGGCTCTCACAGCCATGGTGGCTGCCCTCAGCCTCAGCTTCATCCAAAAGGTCATTCGGCTGTCCAATCTAATTAGTGTAGGTGTTATTAATATAGATGTTTGCCAATACATTTTCTAGGGCAAGGGAAACAAAGGAAAATGTAAACAAATGGGACTACATCAAAATAAAAATCTTCTGCACAGTAAAAGAAACCAATAACAAAATGAAAAGGGATCCCACTATATGGGTGAGCATATATATCAATGATACATCTGACAAAGCTAATTTCCAAAATATATAAAGAACTCATACAACTTAACAAAAGGAAGACAGGCAATTCAATTTTAAAAATGAGGTGAAGGACCTAAATAGACTCTTATCCAAAGAACTACTAAATACTTCTGTAAGCCCACTTCATTTTCTCCATTCTTATTTTCCCCTGCCCCCTGTTTTTGTTTTTGTTTTAATTGCAAAGCAATCTTAAGAGCTATTTATTTGCTATTTTTGGTTTGTAATTTCTACTTTAGAAAAGCTTTCCTTTTTCCTGCAATAAAAAATACTTCCTATTTTCTTGTTATTTTACAGATTGGGAGTCCAGAAGAAAAACCAAGAATTTGTCTCCAAAGGAGGGCAGTTATGAAATTAAGTCATTGCAACCAAAGATAACAAAAAGACCCATAAGTTCTAACCTTGTGTGCATTAGGGTCAAAAATAATAGTGAAATCAAATGCTACTTGGAGAAACAACAGGATGGACATTTCAGACCAATGGTAATGACCTCTGAAGAAAGGTCTGCTTCTATTCAGTGTACGGTCAATAGACTACCTCATATAATTCATACTGGAGCGAAATGTGAATGCAAGGAATATAAAGAAGCTTTCAGTTACCAAGCACACCACCTGCAACATGAAAGCATTCATAATAAGGAAAAAAGCTCTAAATGTGGAGACTATGGTAAAGCCTTTAATAGTAGATCAGGCTTGATTAAACATCAAAGAATTCATGAAAGAAAGAAAAGTAATGAATATGAGAAATGTGCCTTTATTCATGACTCTGAAATTACTAAACCTCAAAGCATTAATATTGGTGAGAAAGCTCATAAATGTAAAGAATGTGGAAAAGCTTTTCATTCTAGCTCACAACTTTCAAAACATCAAAGGATTCATATTGGTGAGAAACCCTATAAATGTAAGGAGTGTGAGAAGGCATTTTCATCTACCTCACAACTTAATTTACATCAGAGAATTCATACAGATGAGAAATACTATGAATGTAAGGAATGTGGAAAAGCCTTCACCCGTCCCTCACATCTTTTTCGACATCAGAGAATCCATACAGGTGAGAAACCCCATAAGTGTAAGGAATGTGGTAAAGCTTTTCGTTATGATACACAACTTAGTCTTCATCAAATAATTCATACTGGTGAAAGACGCTATGAATGTAAAGAGTGTGGAAGGGTATATAGTTGTTCCTCACAACTGAATCTGCATCGAAGAATTCATACTGGTGAGAAACCTCATAAATGTAAGCAGTGTGGGAAAGCTTTTATCTCTGATTCACATCTTATTCGACATCAGAGTGTTCATACTGGTGAGAAACCATATAAATGTAAGGAATGTGGGAAGTCCTTTCGCCGTGGCTCAGAACTTACTCGACACCAGAGAGCTCACAGTGGTGAGAAGCCCTATAAATGCAAGGAATGTGGAATGGCCTTTACTTGTAGCACAGAACTTATTCGACATAAAAAAATTCACACTGGTGAGAGACCCCATAAATGTAAGGAATGTGAGAAGGCTTTTATTAGAAGGTCAGAACTTATTCATCACCAGAGAAGTCATACTGGTGAAAAACCATATGAGTGTAAGGAATGTGGGAAGGCCTTTGGTCGCAGCTCAGAACTTAATCGACACCAGAAAATTCACACTGGTGAGAAACCTTATGAATGTAAGCAATGTGGAAAAGCCTTTATTCGTGGGTCACATCTTAGTCAACATCAAAAAATTCATGCAGCATAGAGGAATGAATGGAGACATGAGGGAAGGTTCAGAATTTAATTGTAATCTGAAATTCATACTAGTAACACCTCCTGTGATTATAAGGAATGTGGGAAAGCATTTGAGGATAATAATTTAATAACATAGTCTGTACTATAGATATAAAGTTTTTATTTAAGGGCCAAAATTTATCGAGCATTTGTTACTGATGAGAAACCTTATGTTCACAATTGGAAGTGTTTATTTGTGTTTTAAACCTCATTTGATATCAGAATTCAATTGGTGCAAAAACAAAAACCTTCATGAATGTAAGAAAAATGAAATCAGCAAATATGTTAGAGACATTAATCATTTAAATCTTTCTCAACATCAGGGTCATTAACCTTTAGGGAAATAAAATATTTATAATATAAATGACATATATATGGGACACCAATTTGCTTTAGCTGACAAATTATCTATCTGATAGTCATACTTAATGAAGGCTATATTAATATTAAAGTTGTAGAAAATTAGTTTACCCTGCCCAAATCTTGTTCAGATTTGCAAACTCATTCTTTAAAATTAACTTGAACTGAATGAGAGTGGGAAAGGATTTAACCAATAGTTAGTCTTTATTTGCCTTCACCACTATAACTCATATTTTATAGGACAAATTATTTAACTATGTCTAAGTTTTCTCATTTATAAATTGGTAATATTAGCACCATTTTTTAGTAGCATTGTGAAGATTAAATAATTACATTATATCCCATAGAACAGTGTCTGTATTGTATTGAAAGTCTGCTAGATAAGAGTTGCCTTTATTATTAATAAGCATTTTTATTTTCATAGGTATTATTAGAGATTATATAAGAGAAAAGCCTCTGGGGGTCAGTGACTATATGAACATCTTAATTCATGTCTTTATTAAAGAATGGTAGGTAATTCCTTCTGGAGAAAAATTTAAAAACAAACTTTTGTTATAGCTTATATTTTTGTCCCATCAGAAGATTCATAATGTAAAGAATCCCAGTAGAATAAAAGTGGGTAGTTCTGAGGTCAGGGTGAAGACTTGGATTATATATTAAGACATTAAAAAAAATTACATAGGGCACACCCTATGGTTTCTGTTTTGGATAATTAGAAAATAACAAAGCCTTAGTCTAAATGCATTTTTTTCTATATGGAAATTTAGAAGAAAACTAAATATTTTTATATTAAAAGGCAAATTATCATTAGTAATGAATGACAAAGAGAAGACTACATGTTGAAATTTGAAGGATACAGCAATGCAATACTTGAGGAAAATTTACTTCTTTCAATATGTATAGGAAACAGGAAAAATTAAGGCCAGGATTCTTTCCCACTGCCCATTCCCTATTCCTGGTAGGTTCCCAGTAAACATTGTTGATCAAAGGAATAAGAGAGTGAACGAATAAGCATTTTACCCTCATATGTTGAAAAGTTCTAATAAAATAAGTATAGAGCCAAAAAACAAAGAAAAAAACTTGAAAACATTTTTTTTTTTTTAATGAAAAACACTGTATCCTATAAAGGAAGAAAAAACTCATGAATAAGAGCGGGTATATAATTACAAAAGTGGATGATATTTAAAGGAATAAGCAATATTATTGTGGCTGATACTGTTGATTGCCTATTCATTGGTATTAACTATTCTCCTTTTGTCAGGGTTACCTGCCACCCACTTAAGTCTAAATGCGAGATGCTTGCCCACCTAGGTTCCTTTGCATCTTGGCATATGTATACCAATTCAGTTAAGTTTTCTTTCCTAACAAAATAGGAAGAAATGGTTTTCTTATATACAGAATGCATGTCTATATGTCTTTGTGATATTTGGAATTGTAGCCATTTTGCAACCAGAGGGGTAAGAGACAGATTGGCATGGGATAGGTGGGAATTACCTTTGTCCTTAACATTGTTGAGCTGATGAAACAATTCGTAACTGCCCTGTTCCAGACTTATGTGAAAAAGAAACTCCATCATATCTGTTATAAGTTTATACTCAACTTTTAAAAATATATCTGAGTCTCAGGAAAAAATATTTTTATAAATATATACACACATTTATTCAACGTTAGTAAGATGGGAAATTGTTTATATTCATCTTTTTACAGTATAACAAATTGTGGAAAAGCATTACTTTCTTAAACATATTAATATGTTGGGTATATTTCAGGTATGGTTTAAGAGCACTACAATATATTGAATATGGAATTAAAATGAGACAAAATCTTTTTGCTTTTGGAGAGTCTTGTCTTCAATTTGTAAAAAAAAAAAATAAAGCAACATCTGTAACATGCAATAAAGCAAACCACAATATGCCTATATGTGTATATGCACATTCAACTGTGATTTGGTAATTCATAGGAAATGTGTATTTAGAGTAATTTGCAGTATGCCTAATTTATATTCAGCTTTTTACAGTTGTCTGAAATCCTAGAAAAGTACTATTTTCCTGAATAAAGTAAGAATCGTGAGAAAAACTAAAGAACTACACCGTGTTATTCCTCTATTTCCAGAGAATCTTACACATAAAATCTTCTAAGTGTTCTATATACAAAGTCATAGTTATAGGGCTAGCATAACCTGTTAACCAAATTTGAGTAAGGAAAGTATCCAAATCCAAATCAGCTATAAAAAATAATACATTGTATTCATTGTATATGAATATTCCAATTAAAATACCAAGTCAAATCTAGCAGCCTAATAGAAAAGTAATATGATTTTTTTTAATCCAGATAAAGTGACCTGACCTGTCCAATTGTTTGAAAATGTAATGTGTAAAGAGAACCAAGATGATGGTGTAGGTGAGTGTTAGTATACACCACTCCTATAACCACATCAAAATTCCAACTAAAATATAGAACAACCATTACTTAGAACTACAATACTTGAAAGCTTCTTTACTTCTCTAGTAATTAAGTAAGCACATTGATACTGGCAGGAGGGGCACAGGCATGGAATGGGCTGTTCCAACACCCATGTGTGCCCCCCCCTTTTTTTTTTAACTGGAAGGGAGTCGTTGTTGAGGAGGCTGCCCATCAGGAGCAATGGGTCCCAGCCCAGGGTTCCAGATCTGGGAAGAGAAGTCCTGTAACTACAGGCTATAAAGACAAGTGGGGATTAGAGCTGTGTGATATAGAAGTTGCTAGAGACTCAGATATTCCTTTTAAAGGGCCAGTGCGCAAACTTACTCAGACTCAATCCCTCTGACCTCCAGTATTGGCAGCTTTAGAGGACCCAGACACATAATGGAACTGGATTGTCTGGCATCAGGGAAGGAATTCAGGGCCAGTTTAATCCCAGATGGGGGTGCTTGCAAGGGTCATTGGACCTGTGCTGGGAATTCCCTATTGCAGAGCTGAGAGGCAGGGTCCATATCTGTGTCTCCATCAGCCTGGCTTAAGCTGTTTGATAATTTCTTGAGATCCCATTCAATTTGCAGTCCCACTGAAGTGGTTTGCAGCTGTTTTTAATATAAATGTCCTGTCCTAGTTCAGGCTTCACACTGCTAAAATCTCTCAAAAAGCCGGAGATGTTATCAGCATGCTCCAAACCTATCAATAAAAGGCCAAGACCTGGCACCAGTCTGCTTTGCTTCATAGCTGGGCCTCACCTGGGCACTTCCAAGCCCAATACAAATAGCATCCATTTGCAGATTTCATTCTGCTAAGTGGCCCAAGGTAGTGACTGACTGAACCTCCTTGAAGGCCTTAGAGCCAGTGCACCTGGAGGACAGCTTCAGATCACACCAGAATACAACTGTATCCTACCTAATAAAATAGTAATATGCAAATTAACCATCATTCCGCTCAAGTTACGCCCACCAGCCAATCAAAATGAGCATGCAAATTAACCCTGACCAAGATGGCTACAGCCACAGAGAGCAATTGAGAGCCTTGGGTTTCCCCAGCAGTAGTGAAAGCCAAGCTTTCCACCCACCCTGGCCTTTACTCAAGGATACAAAGTTTCAGTTATAGAAGATAAATCCCAAGGAAAATGGCCCCAGCGGACCTGGAGAGAGTAGGCTGGGGTTTCCCCCGGCAACAGAGGAAGCCAAGCTTTCTACCTGCCCTGGCTGGCCTTAGGCCTCCACTCAAGGATAGAAAGTTTCAATTACAGAAGGTACATAAGTCCCAATAAAGGTGGCTGCAAGCAGGAGGCTTGGCTCTGCTCTAGGCTACAAAGTTTCAATTGTAGAAGGTAAAAAAATTCTAGATAGCAGGGAGTCTGCTTGGATCGCCAGGGGCCGTGGCCAGCCTGCAAACCACCATAGGCTCACGCCCAGGCCACCCCAAGCCCCACAGGAACTCCTACCCTGATCCAGGACACCATGCAGGGCAAACCAGCTGGCCTCCACCCATGCACCAGGCCCCTATCCTATCTAATAAAAAAGTAATATGCAAATTTACCATCATTCCAACACACAAGATGGCTGCCCCCACATGGTCAAAGATCTTGCCCCTATGTGGACACAAGATAGCCACCACAAGATGGTCAGCAGGTGAGGGCAGTTGGGAGGGACCAAGCCTGCAAGGGAAGGCAGTTGAAAGCAATCAACTCTGTAGGGGAGGGTAGTTAGGGGTGGCCAGGCCAGCAGAAGACGGAAGTTGGGGGCAAATTGGCTGGCAGGGGAGCAGTTAGACATCAATCAGGCTGGCATGGGAGTGAATAGGGGGTGAACAGGCTGGCAGGCAGAAGCGGTTAGGGGCAATCAGGAAGACAGGCAAGTGAGCAGTTGGGAACCAGCAGTCCTGGATTGTGAGAGGGATGTCCAACTGCCTGTTTAGACCTGATCCTGGTGTGATTGGGTCTAAATGGGCAGTCGAACATCCCTCAAGGGGTCCCAGATTGGAGAGGGTGCAGGCTGGGCTGAGGGACACCCACACCCCCACCCTGTGCATGAATTTTGTGCACCAGGCCTCTAGTCCTCCCTAATAAAAGAGTAATATGCAAATTAACCATCACTCTGCTCAAGCCATGCCACCAGCTAATCAGAGTGTATATGAAAATTAACCCCAACCAAGATGGCTGCAGCCACAGAGAGCAGTTGAGAGAGTTGGGTTTCCCAGGTAATAAAGGAAGCCAAGCTTTCCACACACCCTGGCCGATCCAGGCCTCCACTCCAGAATACAAAGTTTCAATTATAGAAGGTACGTAAGTCCCATAGAGATGGCTGCAACCATGGAGTGAGCAGGAGGCTTGGCTCCACTCCAGGGTACAAAGTTTCAATTGTAGAAGGTAAAAAAATTCTAGATACCAGGGCCTCTGCTCAGGTTGCCAGGGTGTGTGGCCAGCCTGAACACCACGACAGACCCTTTGCCCAGGCCACCCCAAGGGAACCCCACCCTGATTTGGACCACCCTTCAGGGCAAACCAGCTGGCCCTTACCCTTGCACCAGGCCTCTATCCTATCTAATAAAAGAGTAATATGCAGATTGACCATCACTCCAACACACAAGATGGCTGCCCCCATGTGATCAAAGTCCTGCCCCCATGTGGACACAAGATGGCCAGCAGGGGAAGGCAGTTGGAAGGCACCAGGCCTGCAAGGGAGGGCAGTTGGGGGCAATCAAGCCTTCAGGGGAGGGCAGTTAGGGGTGACCAGGCTGGCAGGGGAGCAGTTAGGCATCAATCAGACTGGCATAGGAGTGATTAGGGGGTGATCAGGCTGGCAGGCAGAAGCGGTTAGGGGCAATCAGGAAGGCAGGTGAGCAGTTGGGAGCCACCACTCTTGGATTGTGAGAGGGATGTCCGACTGCCATTGGGCTAAGGGACATCCCCACCCCCATGCACGAATTTTATGCACTAGGTCTCTATATATCCATAAGCAACACACTCAAGGAGCAGACACAGTGAGCATCAAAGCCCACCTCAAGCACATCCTATGCCATAGAGGTGTTTCCTGCATATCAGCTTTTTCGTTTTAGTCAGCTGGTCCTCACAGCCAACTGGCCTGGAGATCATCTCCTTCCAGTAATGCCAAAAGCAGTCAAGACTTAATTACAAGACTGCACACAGCCCACTCCTGGTGTACCTAGAGTGCCAAGCTCAGGTGACTGGGGAGGCTGAGCCACTGCATACCTAATACACAAGGCCATTCTACCAATTCCAGGAGACATAGCTCTACTTACCGTATTTTTCGGACCATAAGACGCACTTTTTCCCCCCCAGAAGTGGGGGGGAAAAGTCCCTGCGTCTTATGGTCCAAATATAGCCTACACATATATTTAAAAAAAAAATTTTTTTTTTACTTGCCCGGCTCTGTGTGGTCTCTGTGTGCTTGCCCGGCTCTAAAATGGTTCTAAATGCTGCTGTTTACTTTACACTGCACATGTGTCAAACACAAGGCCCGCGGGCCAAATCCGTCCCGCCAGGCCTTGCAATGTGGCCCGCACCTCGCTGTCATCACTGCACTCCGCTGCGTTTCCATCACAATGACAGTTTATGACTGTTCAGTAAACCATTCGGTCCGCGATTTAGGCTGGATTTTAGATTTTGGCCCCTTCTTTGATTGAGTTCGACACCCCTACTTTACAGGGTTGATTAGATGTGTTTATGACTGTGACATTGGGTTTTAATGCACATAAAATATTTTAGGACACTATTTGTTTCAGAATCTTTTTTTCTTCATTTCCCTTCTCTAAAAACTGGTGCGTCTTATGGTCCGGAGCGTCTTATGGTCCGAAAAATACGGTAATACATAGAAACAAACAGTCAATAAAACAAATACATAGAAACAAAGCAGTCAAAATGTGGATGCAAACATCAAAATTGAAAGAAATGAAAGCAAGCAAATTACTGGATACAGAATTCAAAACCATGGTTATAACGTTACTTAAAGATCTTCATAAGAGCTTCCAGGATCTTAGACCTTCAAAGATCTTAGTGAAAATTTGAAAGACATAAAAAAGGACCAAAAAGAAATTAAGCATACACTAACTGAAATAATTGACAGAGATTCAACAATAGAGGACTCAAAGAATCAAATCAACAATTTGGAATACAAGGAAGCAAAAAACACCCAATTAGAAGAGCAAAAAGAAAAAGATTCCACAAATAGGAAGACAATCTAAGAAGCTTCTGGGATAACTTCAAATGTAGCAACATTGAAATCATGAGGGTGCCAGAAGATGAAGGAGAGTAAGATATTGAAAACCTATTTGAAGAAATAATGACAGAAAACTCCCCCTACCTGGTGAAAGAAATAGACTTACATGTCCAGGAAGCATAGAGGAATACAAAGAGGCCTACACCAAGACACATCATAATTAAAATGCCAAGGATTGCCTGACTGATTTGGCTCAATGGATAGAGCGTCAGCCTGTGGACTGAGGAGTCCTGGGTTTGATTCCGGTCAAGGGCACGTACCTTGGTTGTGGGCACATCCCCAGTAGGGGATGTGCAAGAGGCAGCTGGTCAATGTTTCTCTATCATCAATGTTTCTAACTCTATCCCTCTCCCTTCCTCTCTGTTAAAATAAATAAATAAATAAATAAATAAATAAATAAATAAATAAATTATATATTTTTCAAAAGGTGGGGGGGTTTGCGGGGTGAGGCATAGGAGGCATGGTGAGGGGAGGCCTCCTGGAGGTTGAAACTGTGGCAGGGGCGGCAACTGCAAAAAAAAAAAAAAAAAAAAAAAAAATGCCAAGAATTAAAGACAAAGAATCTTAAAAGACCCAAGAGAAAAGCTGTTAGATGCCTACAAGGAAGCACCATATGACTGTCAGCTGATTTCTTAACATAAATTTTG